AATAATAATAATAATAATAATAATAATAATAATAATAATAATAATAACAAAAACAACATAATAAAAAATAAAAAATAAATTGATAAATAAAACAAATAAATGAATGAATAAATAAATAAATAAATAAATAAATAAATAAATAAATAAATAAATAAATAAATAAATAAATAAATAAATAAATAAATCAAAGATATTCTGTCACACATCTAACAACTTTCCATTTAAAATTAGAAATCTGCTGGTTTCACTCTCCATTGCTGCAACAATTCATTCATTTTCGGGCCAATATCAAGATGAACGCCAACAAAATAAAGCTAAATTACTGAAAACTCTTGAGAGTGAGGATGTTTAGCCATGTGTTTTTTGTCTTTCCGCCCCAGAGTGTGGACGAAGGCTCAAAGCCGGTGGAGATCGTGGTGGAGACGGAGGCCGAAGCCGGGGCCAGCGGCTACAGCGTGACCGGGGGGGAGCGGGGCATTTTTGTCAAAGATGTCCTCAAAGACTCTCCAGCTGCCAAACACCTCAGTTTACAACAAGGTGCCCACTCAGTTAAAAATCCTGTCATCCTCAATGGTGCTTAGAAAAGGGCAATAAGGGGGCTGCAGTTCCCCCTACAGGCCGGGTGGCATGACTGCAAGATGAGCCTGTAAAACAGGGAAAAGGGTTTTGAATATTAGTCTTTCTTCCCATTATTAAAAAGAATGTGATTCAGTCTCATATTTATGCATTTTTGGAGCAGCTTATCACAGATTTGGTGATAAGTTATGAAAGGTTGAGTTTGTTAGCATCGTATTTTATTATAAGACCGAACTTGTGAGGTTTGACTGTCGCCATCGGAAAAATAAAGGCGCTCCCTTTATATATTTATATATTATTTACTCTTCTCATGTAATGCTGTCACATGAAGCCAAACAGGAGATCAATTCCATTTCACCAAAGATGAAAATAGACATCCATGAATGCAATGGCAGCCATGCAATAAGAATGTATTTTAGCCTTCAACTCAATCTTTATTTAGTAACGTCTTAAAATATGTTAGCTTTTTCTGTACACATTACCAGAGAGACATATTAAATATCATTACTTTATGCTGTATTTGGTCATAAATATGCAAAAAGAGAAGGTTTAAACATGACTTTTACCAGATTTTTAACTTATTTTTTTACATTTTCGATGTGCTCTGTGTGAAGGTGATCAGCTTTTAAGTGCGAAGGTTTACTTTGACAACGTGAAGTACGAAGATGCTCTGAAGATCCTCCAGTGTGCAGAACCATACAAGGTCAGCTTCCAGCTAATGAGGACCGTCCCTGGAGCCGAGGTCAGCGTGCGGCCCAGAGTTCCCAGTGTGGAGGTCAAAGGTCCCAAAGCAAAGATGGCCAAGATGGTAACTGATTATGTTTTGCATTTACATAACAAATCAAAAGGAAGAGGGTGTGTTTGATGTCTCGAGTCCAATTTTAAAATTCAATTTAGAAGGATGTTTTGTAATTAATCTGATTTAAAAATCATTTGTGGTTTTAAAAATAGTTATGAACAGGCAATAAAATAGAAATGGACGGCTGAAGGGGAAAAAAGGTGAAAATCTTAAGGCCCTGCTGAATGTTTTAGTCCACAAAGTCAAATGACTCAGCAACTCTGACAATGATGCTGAAGGCAAAAGTAAAAATAATATCCATTTAAAGGGACATTAAAATCGGTGGAGGAAGGAGTCTGGTTAAATGCTGATTTTATTGGAGAAAAAATTGATTAGTTGGGTTTATCTTTGCAGCCAAACCTGATAAGAGAAGCAAGTGATACCAAAAGACTGACTTTTACCTCTTTCATACCTTTTCTGTTAAGATTACATTTAAAAAGCATTGTAGTACGGTGCTTCCACGAGTTATAGCTTACAACTATAGCTTACACCCTGACTGGTTTTCTGGGGCATAACAGAGACAGGAAAGCTCACAATGTGAGCAAAATGTAATGACTTTAAAGCTGGCAATGTAGCCTTTTTTGGTTTTATCATAAATGTAGAGCCTAACTTTTTACTTTCATTAGATGTCTTTACACTGTCGGAGATAAGCAAATTAAGTGTGAGTTGTTGGAAAATTTCCCTTCCAGACTGTGAATCCTTGTGGTGGATAATTCCTCCGAAACAACAGCCGCCCTGTCCAACTTAATAAGTTTCACACTGCCCTGCTCAGAGGTTTTAAATCATTTTAGGGAGAATGAGAGTATTCAAAATAAGCTTGAATTTTGCCCCCAGTTCGACCAGGAATGCAGACAGTGCCATCCAATTTCTTTAAATGTTGTGGACCCCCCCTTACTCGTATATGTGCATGTGTTTCCCAGAGTGTGAAAGGCACCAAGCCGTTTAAGGCCCAGAAGAGGAGAGGAGGTCGTTTTGGTCTGAAGAGGCTGAAAGAGAAGCGCAGAGAGGAGCTGGTGATGGAGGGCTCTTCCCCCAGGCTGGAGGGGGGAGACGTCGAGTTCTCACTACCCAAATTCAAACAGAAGAAGAGTGCGAAGGTTGAAGTGGAGGGCGTGGAAGGGGCAGCCGCTGGGGGGAGGGCAAAGAGGAGGATCAGGTGGGTCATGATTGCGATATCTGATGGTTTCTAGAGTTATTATCTGATTAGTAAGCATTGTTTTACACAACTCTTTCAGGTTTCCTCGTATGAAAACAAAGACTTACACTGGAGAGGCAACAGGTGGAAAGATGGAATCGGGACAACTGCAGGCACACGTGGACGTCTCACCATCTGAAATAGCCGGAGCTAAAGTAAAACCCAAAGCAAAGGGACACAAGTTTGGGATCACGTTTCCTAAAGTCAAGCACGGTGGATCTGTGGAGCTGAAGCCTCCAGAGGTAGACCTCCAGCCACCATCAGTGGAGTTCAGTCTGTCAGGTGATAAAGACGTTGCAAAGAAGGGGTCAAAGTTCAGCCCCCCATATGTGGAGTTTGCTCTGCCTTCAGGAAAAGCCGAAGCGTCTTCGCCCGCCGCGAAGGGCTCAGTGGAAATCAAAGCTCCTAAAGTGGATATAAAAGGAGGAGCTGAGGGGAAAGTTAATGTAGACGGAGCCAAAGGAGATACTAAGCTCAGAATGCCAAAGCTGAAACTACCAAAAGTTAGACTTTCCCGTCATTCAGACGAAATTGATGGTGACATGAAGGAAAAAGCTGGGGGGGTGAAAGTGCCTCATGCTAGCATAAAAGCAGAAGTGAAAGGAGATGGAAAGGGAAACCTTCCTGAAGCACACATCACCAAACCAAAAGTGGAAGGCGATCTCTCAGGAAAAGCCGTTTCCATTCAGGTTCCATCAGTCGACATTTCACTGCCCAAAGTTAAGGCGAAGCCCGACGTCGAGGTTTCACTCCCAGAGTATAAAGGAGCAATAAAGGGAGGAGTCACCAAGCCTGAGATCGACATCTCCGGGCCTGAGGTCGATTTCAGCACTGGACAGAGAATTCCAGATGAGGTGGAGGGCACTTTTAAAGGACCCAAAATCTCCATGCCAAAGGTCGATATCGCCTTACCAAAGATGGGAAGTACTGATGTGAGTCTTGACTGTCCAGAGGGGGGAGGAAAGTTCAACCTCCCTTCTGTTGACATCTCTCCCCCAAAGCTGAAATCGGACATTGGGGATGTGGATATGGACTACTATGTTGGTGGAGATGGCAAGTTCAAAATGCCAGATTTTGACATAACTCTCCCGAAAATGAAGTCACATGAAGGAGACGTGGGAGGAGCTTTCAAGATGCCCAAAGTGGACTTGACCCTTCCTAATGTGGAAGCAACAGCATCTGGAGGTGAAATCCATATGCCTTCTGTTGATATACCCCAAATAAAAGGAAAAACCAAAGGTGGCATTGAAATAGATGAGCCATCTGCTAAAGGAGGGAAGTTCAAAATGCCTTCTCTCAATGTAAAACTCCCTCAGATGGGCACATCCGGAGAGAAAATCCAGATACCATCAGGAGACGTTTCTTTACCAACACCCCCAGGTGAGATTGACTTGGAGGGAGACTTAAAAGGTGGGAAATTTAACATGCCATCTGTTGACATTTCCCTCCCAAAAATGAAGCTTCCAGAAGGAGACGTGAACCTAGAAGGCCCTGAACTTTCAAACGTTGACTTTTCCCTTTCTGATTCAAGCCATGGGGGCAACGTGGAACTTGATGCCAAAGGTGGAGGCAAATTTAAGATGCCTTCTTTTGAAATGTCAATGCCAAAGGGGAAAACCAAAGGAGGAGATATGACTTTAAAAGGACCTGAAATCAGAGGAGCCAAATTCAACATGCCATCACTTGATATCTCTCTTCCATCAATGAAATCACCTGATGGGGAGGTAAAGGTTGAAGGTCCTGAAGCCAAAGGAGGGACGTTTCAAATACCTTCTTTGGATGTTGCACTGCCACAAATTGATAAAAAGTCTGGGGACATAGATATTGAAGGTCCTGAATTTAAGGCAAAACTACCAGAGGTAAATGTAGACATAAAAGGAAGTGAGATTAAAGGAGGGAAAATCAACATGCCTTCAATGGATATCTCTCCACCTCGAGGAAAAGTAAAGGGCAAGATAGATGTTGAAGGACCCAAATTTAATATGCCAACATTTGATGTGTCCCTTCCAAAGGGAAAAGCAGAGGTTGACACTAAAAGTAAAGGAGGACATTTTCATGTACATGCATTCGATCTCAAATCAAAGCAAGGCGACGCCAAAATTAAAGGCCCAGATTTTAAAGATGGAGAAATAAAACCACCCACTGTTGACATCTCACCTCCTAAAGGTAAACTCAAAGGTGACATCACGCTCGAAAGTGAAACAAAAGGAGGCAAGTTTAATGTCCCATCTATAGACATTAACCTACCAAAAGTGAAGTTCCCAGAAGGAGATTTGAGTTTTCAAGGTCCGAAAGTCAAAGGCGGGAAGTTTGAAATGCCAAAGATTGACCTCTCACTTCCTAAAGGAAAAGCACAGGCGGACATTGACATTGACATTCACTCTGGAAAAGATGGGAATTTTGAAGTAACATCCTGTGACAGTGGACTTCCTTCTGGAGAAATCACAGCTGGCATAAATGCTGAAGGAATTGAGGGGAAGAAAGGAAAACTGAAAATGCCCAAATTTGATGTTCACCTTCCAAAACTACCAGAAGGCAACATCAAGGTTGAAGGACCAAAAGTGAAAGGAAGTATGGAAATGCCAACGGTTGACGTTTCTTCCCCAAAAGGAAAGATTGGTGGTGATGTTAATTTTGAAGGACCTGAGGGGGGAAAGATTGACATGCCAACAGTTGATATTTCAGCACCTAAAATGAAATGTCCCGAGGTAGATGTCAGCCTCAAAGGATTGGATATTAAAGGAGGACATATCAATGTGCCAGATGTTGATCTTTCAGTCCCGAAACCAACAGGTGGTTTCGGCCTCAGCGTTGATGGTCCTGAAGGTAAAGGTGGAAAGATGAAGATGCCAACGTTTGACATTTCACTGCCTAAAGTAAACTTTCCTGAGAGTGATGTCAAATTAAAAGGGCCTGACGTCAAGGGTAAAAAGATTGAATTGCCGGACATAGATCTTTCAATTCCCAAAGGAAAAGCAGAGGGACAGATTAAAATTGGTGGGCATGGAGGCAAGGGAGGAAAGTTTCACATGCCTTCTGTTGATTTCTCTTTGCCAAAAATGAAAGCTAAGGGACCAGAGGTCAACATCGAGGGCCCTGCATTGAAAGGAGGGAAAATCAACACACCAGATATTGACATCTCCCTTCCCAAAGGAAAAGCTGAGGTTGACCTCAATGTTGAGGGTCCTGAGGTTAAAGGTGGAAAGCTCAACATGCCG